AAGGATCAGTCCTTTATTCTTAATTATATTTTTGGGTTTCTCATATGGGAAACCATTGCAAAATTTAACCTTCTGTGGATGATTTCACTTAACATTATGGTCACAAGATTCATCCATTTTTCTTTAAAGGACTCAAGTTTATCCTTTTTTTACTCTATCATGTACATGTACCACATTCTCTTTATCCATTTATCTGTTGGTGTCTAGGCTGTTTCCATAGTTTATCTGCTTTGAATCACACTGTTATACGCATAAGTATGTATGTATCACTATAGGATAAGGTCTAACTCTTTGGGGAAAATACCTGAGAGATTCATGGCTGATAGAATTTCTTTTAGGTTTTGAGAGAATCTTCATACTGATTTTCATAGTGGATGTTTTAGTTACTTTTCTCCACAACCTTGTTATCTATTGTTGTTTTTTCATGTTCTTGATGATAACCATTTGGCTGGAGTAAGGTGAAATCTCAGAGTTGTTTTGATTTGCATTTTCCTGATGGCTAAAGATAATGAACATTTTTTCATGTACTTATAAGACTTTTGTGCTTCTTTTGAGAAGTATATATTTATTTCATTTCTCTAAATTTTGATTGGGTTGTGTTTTGAGATCTAATATTTTTTGAACTCTATATATTGAGATATAAATCCTCTATCAGAAAATTAGCTGATTTTTTTTTCACCATTCTACAGGGCAGCATTGGCAAATCTATGATACACATGTTTTTCTTTTAAGACAAAACATGGTAATGCATGAGTTATTTTTTCTAAAGGAAAACATTAGTTTTAATAGAAATGCTGGCACTTTATGATAAGTAAGTGGGTTTTGGATTGCACTTTGGACACTAATCTCTAAAAGGTTTGCCATCACTGCCATAGGGTGTCTCTTCATTCTGTTGATTCTTTATCTTGCTGTGTGTTTTAATTTAATAGAATCTCATTTATTGATTCTTGGTGTTATTTCTTGTGCTGTTAAGAGTTCTGTTCAGGAAGTCCTTGCCTATGTCTATGACATCAAATGTTTTTGTTTTCCTTGTTTTACCTTCCAGAAGTTCCAGCTCTTTTATATTTAGTATCTATGTCTTTGATCCATTCTGATTCCATTTGAGTACAGTGTGAGAGAGATGGGTCTAGTGTTACTCTTCTGCACGTGTATAGCCTGTTTTCCCAGCATCATTTGCTAAGGAGGCTGTCTTTCCTTCAGGATATGTTTTCAGCTTCTTTATTAGATGGGTAGAGGTACATGAAATTGTTTCTGTATCTTCTATTCTATTCCATTTGGTCTACATGTTCACTTTTGTGCCAGTACCATAGCTGTTTTTATTACATAGGGTAAATTGAAAAGCTGGATTTTAATCTCCTCTGTTGCTGTTTTTGCTCACTATTGTTATCGCTTTTTATTTTTTTGGTACTGAGGATTGAACTTGGGTCCTTCAGCTTGCAAGGCAGGCCACCGAACTGCTGAGCTAAATCCCGGGCCCCTTGTTATGGCTATTTTAAATCTCTTCTGCTTTCTCATAAATTTTGGGATTTTGTTTTCTAGTTTTGTGAATAATATTGTTTACATATTGATAGGAGTTACATTAAATCTATAATGACTTCTAGACATATGGGAATTTTGATATTGATTCTACCTATCCGGGAACAGGGGCTATTTTCCATTTTCTAATGTCCTCTTCAGTTGCTCTTTTATTTCAGAGAATTATAGTTTTCACTATAGAGGTCTTTTACCCACTTGGTTAGTTTGATTCCTAGGTATTTAATTTTTTTGAAACTATTATGAATGGATTATTTTCCTGATTTCTTTCTATGTGGTTTTATTATTGGTGCACAGGAACACTATTGATCATTATTGATTTTGTATCCTGCTACTCTGCTGAATTTGTTTCATTAGCTCTAAGAATTTTCTGATGGAATTTTTTGGGTCTTCTATGTAAATAAGGGATCATATCTGCAAATAAACAGTTTGCCTTCTTCCTTTTCTGTCTGTGTCCATTTTGTTTGCCTGAGTGTTCTGGCTAAAGCTTCTCATACTGTATTGAAGAGGAATTATAAGAGTGGACACTCTTGTCTTTAGAGGAAATATTTACCCCTTTTCCCCATTTAGTGTGATTTTGGCTGTGAGTTTGTCATATAGGGGTTTTACAGTTTAAGGCAAGGTCCTTCTAAATGCATTTTCATCATTTTTTAAAAACATTAATGGATATTGAATATTTTTGGCTTTTTTTTGCATCTGTTGAGATTATGTGTTCAGATTTTACATTTTTATTACAATAGAATTTCTTTTAAGTTCATGTCTTATGGAAGTTTGTGTTCAAATATATTTGTAAAAATCATTTTTGCTTCATCTAGCAAAATCTACTCATTCAAATACTATAAAATATGTCATATACTCAGTATATGCACTATATGCACTATAATCATATTTAGAAACATTACAAAAATTTGTTTCAGATAGCTATATAGAGTACATGAAGTTAAATTATTCATGTGTCGATAACTTGAAACTAGAGCAATTGGTGTTATGTAAGTTTTCACTTTTTTTTTCTTTTTTCCAGGTACTGGGGATCAAACCCAGGACCTTGTGCTTGTGAGATGGGCATAGTGCCACTGAGCTAAATCCTTGACTGTTTT